TTTGATTTGAGAGGGATCCGCTATCCATTTAGCTGTGGAAAGTTCTCATGGATTTAGTTTTATTGGGTAGCAAATAGATATTTAATAAACTTTTCTTTTTTCCTCTTTTTGTTTTTTTAAGGTGGGCTGAGTCAGCCAAGGTTAGAAATTCTCATATCTTTATGTAGAATAGTAATTAGTATTTTCTGTATGTTTAATTGGAGAGCTAGGTTTACTTTTTCTATGTTCTGTTGAATAGTTGAGAGCATGTTTCTAATTGTTTGAATGTGTATTTTTTTTATTTTCTGGTGACTTTGTATACCTGACCAGAACTAAGGAGAGGTCACATGAAATGGCTATATAGATCGTTATTTAAATCCATTTCAATTATTTGATATGAACTCAGAGCATATGATATGTGCTTAGTCTTTATTTAGTTGTGATATGCTCAGTTTCTTTTTGTCTTCCATCTTAAGAAAATGATGAAGTATAAAACTTGACATCTTTGGAATATGGATGTTAACTTTGGAGAGTCCTCATTTTAGTAAAGTGATTAATTTTGGCATTTTCTAGATCTGTTTCTACTCAAAATGTTGATGTCAATTAAAATGGAATCAGATCTTTTATGGAAAAAATTATTTACCCTTTTCATGGTTTTTGGTTTTATTTTAGCCAAGGTATTTGCTGAAATTTGAGCAAATTTACCTCTCCAAGCCTACCCATTGGGAAAGAGATGGTGCTCCTTCACCAATGATGCCAAATGAGGCCAGATTAAGAAATCTCACGTAAGAAAAATTTTTTTTTTTCCAGCAATTCTAGAAAAATTCTGGAAAATACAATTCTGAAGATAAAATTTTAACCAGTTGGTAGTTTCAGCAAATACCTTACTATTAATTATGATCTTTTATTTTCAAAGGTACTCTGCTCCACTTTATGTTGATATAACCAAAACAGTCATTAAAGAAGGTGAAGAACAACTTCAGACACAGCATCAAAAGACTTTTATAGGAAAAATTCCAATTATGTTGCGTTCAACTTACTGCCTATTGAATGGCTTAACAGATCGTGACCTTTGTGAGTTAAATGAATGCCCCTTGGATCCTGGTGGCTACTTTATTATTAATGGATCAGAAAAGGTATGATAGCATTATTTTTAAAAAATTACAAAATAATTATTAAGATTTAAATTGTGAAAGTTGAAATTAAAAGGTAAACTTTTCTATTGAATTTCTACTAAACCGTAACTTTATTTAGCTGTGTATGATATATGCACTGGAAATTTATGTGATCAGTTGTTTGAACTTAGATGTTTCTGTGAAGCATTTTTGCAAAATGGAGTTTGTAAACGTCAAGAATTGATGTTTCATTGAGGTTGTATGATGAGATTAAATTAAGATGCAGCTTTCACTGTTCTTTTTACTTCAAAGACCTTCAGGATTTTATGGCTGTAACCTTTATTGTCCATATAGGTTCTGATTGCTCAAGAGAAAATGGCAACAAACACAGTCTATGTGTTTGCCAAAAAGGATTCTAAATATGCCTACACAGGAGAGTGTAGATCATGTCTAGAGAACTCTTCTCGACCCACCAGTACGATTTGGGTTAGCATGCTGGCAAGAGGAGGACAGGTATGGACTGTTACATGGTATTGTTTGGGTTTGTTCCTTTTGGTCTAGTTTTGTAAGTTATCAGACTGCATACTTAGTCAAAAAGTTTTTCTGGAGCATATTATCAGTGTTATAGGGTAGACATCTTATTATTTACTAGTTGTAACAAATTACTCCAGTAGCAACATTCATTTATCATCTGTTTCTGGGTGTAGCTTAGCTGGGTCCTCTGGCCAAGCATCTCTTACAGGGCTGCAGTCAAGGTATTTGTCTGGGCTGCAGCCATTATCTTAAGGCTCCTTTGCATGGTTGTTGGGCAGAATTCAGTTCCTTGCCTCTCGGCTCTCCTCTGTACAACAGCTGACAACATGGCAGCTCACTTCGTCAGAGTAATTGAACAGAGCTGTGAAGCATACAAGCAAGATGGAAATCACCATCTCTTATACCTTAATCTTAGAAGCAATATCCTATCATTTTTGCCATGTTCTTTTTGTTAGATGCAAGTTAGTACATCTAGTTGATACTCAAGAGAAGGGACTACACGAGGCATTGATTGTAGGCAGGGATCATTGGGCACCATCTTAGAAGCCAGGTAACATAGGCATGTCACTTATAATAATAGCTAACATTTCTTGACTATTTGCTGTGTGCCAATTATGTAACTCAGATTGCTTGATTTAATCTTTATAACTATTGAAAATTAGCTGTGATTAACTATTTAATTTCATGTACACTTTTAAAGTCATACGTGCACTTTAAAATAGTTCAGAAAAGTACAAAAATGGGTGCACTATAAAAAGTAGTCTTCCTTTGACCCCTCACCCCATATTTCTTTACTTGAGGCAGCTGCTTTTGCTAATTTCTCATGAATCTATCCAGAAATAGTCTTAATGCAAAAAATACAAATGGGAACATATCATACACACTGTTTGAACTTTGCTGGTATCCTTTAAAAACATGTTTGGATCAGCAGTTGATCATTGGTTTTGAGCTGTGATATTCCATAAATAGGTGTAGCATAATTTATTGAGCCATTTCCCTTTTGATGGACATTTAAGTTTCTAGTCTTGTGCTCTTACAAATAGTTCTGTATAGTCTAATACCACTTTAATAAGTTTTATAAAGGAGAAGAACTTGAACATTAGAGAGGTTTAAGTGCCTGAAGTTACAATCACTTGTAGAATAGGTGTTTAAAGAATTAAAGTGGTTTTTACTTGAAAGTGATGGTGGAATGAGGCTCAAGTACAAGTGTTTGCAAAAGCTCTTTGGGTGACTGTGATGTGCATTCTTTGTTTAGAAGCATTGTCCTGGATTATGGAGGGTAAGTATAGTAACACAGTGTATTAGAGAGATTATCATGGCAGCTGTTGGTAAAATGAATTAATTAGAGGCAGAGAAAGGAAAGTTACCTAGATTTAGTGATAAATTTGATATAATACAAGGATGAGTCAAATAAGATTCTATGGTTCTATCCTGACATTCTAGATAAAATAGAAGCTTCCAAGAATTGATTTTTACAAAGAACCTGGTGAGTTCATTTTTAGACAGAAGTTGTTTTGGTGGGGCATTCCTTTTTAATGTTTTGCTTACTTTGAAAAAGATCTATGATGAAACAAATAATAGACTGCATGAAATAATTGAAATCTAAGTTGAAACAACCAAATGGCAGTTGGAGATATGAGGGTTGTGGGTACAGAAAGAAGATCAAGGTGAAGATTTGTGTATCATTTATGTAAAGTTGTTACTGAATACCTGTGAGATGGGGTAAGGTTTCTAAGGAAGGAGGCCTGAAGTAGGAGGAAGAAGACAACAGAAACTGTTATTAGATGGATCATGATAATGTTGGGTTATGAGGCCAAGAGAAGGTAGAGTTTGATATTGAAGGAAAGAAATTTTATTAAAACTGGGAAACGAGGTAATTGTATGGCATTGTAGACCAGTAACTTCTACTTCGTTTCTGTATGTGTTACAATTAAAGAGAGACAGACTGAAAGAGAAGCTTGAGAGAGGCTGTTTTGAAACATTATTTGTCTATGGAGATACCTCACAGAGCAGCTCTGAGTTAATATTTATTTTTCATTCTGTGCTTAGCTTTTTTCTACATTTGTCCATCCATATTCTCTCTTTATTTTCCCTTCATCTATTTCTTTCTTCAAAAATTTTAAATTTTTTGGTCAGGGGAAAAGGTGAGAGGTCTGTGTTCATATTCTTTTACAGGAAAAGATCATTTCCAAGTGCAGTTTTGGAAATTCTAGAGAACCTTGGCAGACAGAAAATAGAGAATGGAAGTTCTCCCAGGTCTAAATGACCAGCTTGTCCATCAAATGAGTGAACCTATTCTAGTGGTTTTGAAAAGCAGCCACAGTACATTTCTTAGAGTATGAGATACATGCTTTTTTTGAAATACATACAAGGAATATGTTTATAAAGTGGTTGTTGTGATGTTTATATGTGCCTTGATCTCTGTGTCCTCATATTCTAACGATGTTTTATTTTTCTAGGGTGCAAAGAAGAGTGCTATTGGTCAGCGCATTGTGGCAACCCTACCGTATATCAAGCAAGAAGTTCCTATCATTATTGTGTTCAGAGCATTAGGTTTTGTGTCTGACAGAGATATTTTAGAGCATATTATTTATGACTTTGAAGATCCAGAAATGATGGAAATGGTAATTTGAAAGCAAAATATAGTCACAGTGTTTTACAAGAGGTTTAAAGTTACTGACTGTTGCTAATCCTAAAACACAGTAGAAAGCTGCTCTGAAGATCAATTTAGCTGTCACAAACTCCATGCTATTTACAACGTAGCAAAAGCCTTCAGCCCTGCCTTGGCTTCTTTCCTGACAATTCTCTATAAAATAGACATAAAAACTAGAGGCAGCCAGAGTTCATTGACAGCAGCAAGAAGAAACAGTAGTAAAGAAAATCATAAAAGCATACTAGTCTCGTGCAATTTAGTAAAAAGGGAAAATGAATAGTTAATATCTTCTATTTTTAAAAAACTTTATTTTGAAATTATTTCGGATTTATAGAAAAGTTGCAAATAACTCTTGTATTCTCTACGTCCATATTCACCCATTGTTATCTTTGCCACATGCCACTTTGTCTATAGATTCACATTATTTTTTTCTGGATCATTTGAGAATAAGTTTCAGACATCATACCCCTTTACTTCTAAATACTTAGTGTATATTTCCTAAGAATCAGGACATTTACTTGCATAATCATAGTATAGTTTTTAAAATCAGGACTTTGGTACAGTACATACTGTTAACCTAGAGATCTTACTCAGATTTTTGCCAGTTGTCCTGATAATGTTCTTAATGGCATCCTCTCCGCCTCTATCAAAATCCAATCCAGGATCATGTATTATATGTTTTCACTTGTCTGTAGTCTCTTTTAATCTTCCCTTGTCTTTTTCCTCACTGAAACACTGAACACTGAAAGTTTTAGAAAAGATAGGCCATTTATTTTACAGAATATCGTTCAATTTGAGTTTTTCTGATGTTTCCTCATGATTAGATTGAATTTATGCATTTTTTGGCAGGACATATACAGAGATCATATTGTGTGCTTCCCAGGGAATCGCATCAGGAGTCACATGTTGTTATTTTGTCCCATTATTGGAATATTAACTCTGCAGTGTCATCTTTTAGGTTCCTCCACTGTAAAGTTAGTACTTTTGTGGAAAGTTTCACTGAGTCTAGATAAATATGCATTTCCTTATCAATCTTTTCCATTGATGATCCTTGTCTCAGTAGTAGTTGATATTCTTAGTTGTTCTGAATTGTCCCGAGTCTTTTAGACTACAGAGAAATAAGGCAAAATGCAGGCCAAACATTGGTCACAAAGTTAGAAAGTTAAGTATATGTTAGTTATTAAAGTATTTATTGATATGGGTATATGACAAAAATATCCATTTTTATCCAGTTAGATTTTACTTTAAGCTTTTGGTAGTAGTAATTTTTTTTAATTAGTTAAAAGATAAAAAGTTATTTTAGTAGTTAAAAGATAACCTCTTAAACCAAGGTTGAAAACAGTACAGCATATTTATTCATTTGAGGCTTAGTAAATTTTAATTTGAGTATTAAACTTCCCTAAAATTTTTTTTTTTTTGGTTGGGGGCAGGTAATTAGGTTCATTTATTTACTCTTAGAGGAGGTACTGGGGATTGAACCCAGGACCTCATGCATGCTAAGCATGTGCTCTACCACTTCAGCTGTACCTTCCCCACCCTAAACTTCTATAAGTTTATACACACATAAACACATACATATATGCCATAGTTCATTAAGATGTAAAAAAACCCAAAAAACAAAAAACAAAAACCACTGTGCTCTGTTATAATGGAATTATTTGTATTTATCTGGAAAATATAATTGCCTGTGCTGATAAGTGGATTTTTTTCAGAGATCTCTAGATCTCTAAGATGTCTTCAAGTTCTAAGGTTTTGTGATTCCTTGATTTTATAAAATCAAGTTAGGTCCATAGAGTTATTTAGTATATTATAAAATAAGTGAGATAGGCTAAGGATTCAGCTTCAGGAGAGCACAGCGCTATGTCTAAGGGGACGGGAACTCAGTTTTCTTAGGACGTGCTTGGGAGGTGCTCCTGGGCGGAACAGATGAGGAGAAGGTTAGAAAATAAGGAGAAGCTTACTGTGTGTTTCTGTTACCAGTTGACTTCTTTTAACATAAAAATAAGAATTTGAAAATAATTTTTCATTTGAATTAACTGATAGGTTAAACCTTCTCTCGATGAAGCCTTTGTCATTCAAGAACAGAATGTTGCACTCAATTTCATTGGTTCAAGAGGAGCAAAGCCTGGTGTCACCAAAGAGAAAAGAATTAAATATGCAAAGGAAGTCTTACAGAAAGAAATGCTCCCTCATGTTGGCGTCAGTGATTTTTGTGAGACCAAGAAAGCTTATTTCTTAGGGTACGTTAAATTTCATTGTTCTAAGTTCTTTGCCAAGGTACGGTTTTAATAAAAGTTTTTCTTACAGCTAAAAATGTCAAAATTGATGTTTTTAATATATAAGTTAAAAAAAAGCCAAAATCATGTGTTTTCTTTTTTACTTCTTTTTTAAAAGGTACATGGTTCATAGGTTGCTTCTAGCAGCTTTGGGTAGAAGAGAATTAGATGACAGAGATCACTATGGAAACAAAAGATTGGACCTTGCTGGACCACTACTTGCATTCTTATTTAGAGGGTAAGAAGCTATAGAATGATAATGTTAAAAGTAGAGAGATTTCACTTTGGATTATTTCACATGGAGGTGCCCCATCCATATTGGGTACATATGAAGGTAGCTGCATTCTTTTTGCCACTTGCTCAGATTTAGTTCTATTTCTTGTCTGAAAATGTCAAGTTTGTGAGAAATTGTTTATTACTTGTGTACATTTTCTTTATTCCTCTGTACCGTTACAAGGCATTTGAAAAAAGCTGTTACTGCCTTGATTTTCTAAGTGCTGATAATGGAATTTTTATTAGTTCTGCTTTGCATTTTATAAAAACACATAAGCTGGAGGGAAATCTCAAAATACGAGCAGTGGTTGTGTCATTATTGGGGTTATATGTGATTTTTATTTTATTCGAGATAACGTTTTTATGTTTTCTGTATTTTCTATAATGAACATATAATACTTTTATAATTAAAAAACTTATTTGTAAAAATAATGTAGGCAATTTAATACAAAAACAGTATTAGCAACGTTTTGCACATATTCTATTATTTATTGTGTTATATATTAGTGTTTTTCAAACTTCTTTCATGATCATCCCACTAAGAAGCCTCTTACGACATTTTCCCCTAATTGCTTTGCCTGTGTATGTTTATGTATTGTATGTACATCTGTGCATTTTATATAAAAAGTAGTAACCTCCCTCCACCTCAATCACTTTTCACCCCCTTGTGGGTTATATTGTCCCCATTGACAAGGCACTTTGTAGACCTTTGCGTGTTTAAAATAATACTGTTTTATTGGGCAGAATGTTTAAGAATTTGCTTAAAGAAGTACGGATCTATGCACAGAAGTTCATTGATCGAGGAAAGGATTTTAACTTGGAGTTGGCAATTAAAACAAGGATTATATCTGATGGCCTAAAATACTCCTTAGCTACTGGAAACTGGGGTGACCAAAAGAAAGCTCATCAAGCCAGAGCTGGGGTATCTCAGGTAAGGGTGTGTCAACTATGACTACAGTTTTGATAAGAAAATGTTATGGAGCTAATAGATTCTTTCACTCATCAAATGTAAATTATTTAGCCTTTTTTTTTTCTTGATCAGAGGTAAAAGGTAAAAGCACTTGGGGGCTTTTGAATTATGAAAGTGAAATTTTTCTTAAATTAGCTATCAGTATTACTAAGAGAGATTAAAACTTTTGGCTTACATCAAGATAGTTAATAAATTTGAGTAGCTACTTGGAAGGTGAGATGGTCCATGTTTGTGAAATTTTTATGTCTTAAAGACTCCCTAGTAGAAGCTGATGCCAGAGAATAGAAGGGCATCTGCTTCCTTTTTTGCAAAATGTAATACTTTAACACTGATTTCTCTATGTTGGCCTCTTGTATGTACAGTGACTGTAATAGCTACTCTCAGAAGGAGAATTGGGGGAACCTTTTACAAAAATGTCTCACTAGACATATTTATTTATTTACTTTTTGTAACTGTTTTTCATATAAAATTGAACATTTATAATATACATGTTCAGCTTTGTGGAATTTGGGGGGAATCTACCCCTTTGCTTTTTTTTTTAACCAGCCTGTACCAGTGTCACCTGATTAATTTGGCATTCAGATACCAACTTTAAGCTTCTGATTCCTAGAAACATACTACAGATTTTAAGAAATTTTAGAAGGATGCTGATAGCCCAAGTTAATTTCTAGTTCCTTTTAACTTAATACGAATTTGTTGAGTATACTTGGTGTTTGTGATGCTGCGTTCAAAAACACAAATGAGATACTCTTCCAGCCCTCAAGGAGCTCACCATCTATCAGTGGAAGCATTCATCCATGTGCAGCTCACTTTGCTTTGAGCTCAATTATGATAAATGTCATCCTGCCAATTCAGTGTACAGCTCTTGGGACTTACGATGTGCCAGGCACTCTGCTGTACATTGGAGATGCAAAGATGAATAAAACATGATCTCTGTTCTTTAGTAGTTTACAGTCTGTACTCATAGACAGACATAAACAGATATTACAGCATGGTACAGTGAGTATTAAATGAGAGCTGTGCACACCTGCTCTGTGGGAATGCTGGAGAAGGCATTTAGCACAGGCTGAGAGGGTGAAAAGTGTTTTCTTTAGGAGGTGACACTTGAGCTGAATCTTGAAGGGTAGTTATTGGAAAATGGCCCAAGCCTGGGAGGAGGATAAAACTAGCAGCTCACAGGAAAACTGGAAAAAGTTTAATATCCTTAACAAAGGGACAGAGAGGGGAAAGAGCATATATGTGTGGGAGGAGCGAGAGCAGCCTAGGGTTTTCAAATCAAAGTGGGAGAGTTAGGAAGATGGGGTTGGAGAAGGAAGCTGGGAACAGCCCACAGAGTGGAGTGACATGTTCATTTTTGTTTTTTAGGTAGCTTCACAGTAGTTGGCGGTGTGGAGAAAAGATTTGAGAAGAGCAAAGTTGTTGTCAGGAAGATTGTTGTAACAGGCTGAGTGAGAAATAATTAGGGCCTGCACTAGAGCAATCTTATAGAGGGGGAGACAAATTTGAGAAATACTTGGGAAGTAAGTTTTGTAAGACAGTTCTTCGTGGAGGTGGGTGAGATGTCTTCTATAGAGGTGGTAACGTTTCACTAGGCAGAGCAGAATGGGGAAGTGCATTCCATTTGGTGGCAATAGCATGGTCAGAGGTTTGGGATTTTGCAGTGTGGATGGGGTACAGGAGTTCTGGAGACTGGTAGGGGAAGGTCCTCTGGGACATCATTGAGAAGCACTTTATTGTCATGCTCCTCTGTAGTTGGTGGGGGCCTGTTTTATATTTTTTAAGTGAATGAGTGGTATGAACATATCTGTGTTTTATTAATTCTGGTAACTGAGGAGGTTGGATTGAAGAGGGAGACTGTAAGGATTTTTGAGCTGATTGTAGTACAGTAGGCAAGAGGTAAGGGGCTGGTCTGTTGCTGTGACGCTGGGAATGGAGGGGTTAGCTTTTAGAGAAAACTTAAAGTAGTGTTTACAGGATATGTGTATTGATGTGTATAAAGGAGGAGGTCAGAGACAAAGATATTTTGAGATTTCTGGATTGGAAGATTAAGGGAAAAGTGATACCATTAACCATGACAGGAGACTTAGGAAGAGGAAGGAGGTTTGGGTTGTTGTAGAGCTGGGGAAAGTGGTGATTTGTTATTAGGTACATTGAACTTGTGTTGCTTGCTTTATATTCCTCTAAGTATTACCTTACTTATAGAACACTAAGCAAGGCAATACTTGTAAATATTAAATCTCTGTGTTGGACTCAGAGGTCTCAGCCTGGCGGAAGTTCTGGGATGGATTAGTGATGTCTTCTATGGTCAGAGAAGTGTGAGTTGGTAGCATTTAACACTGTCTGAGTGCCTAATGTGTGCCAGGTACTGTTCTAGGTATTTGGATGTAACAGAACAAAGCAAACAAATATAAAATTGCCACCCTTGTAAAACTAACATCCTCGTGGTTGGAGACAGACCATAAGTAAAAGTTACGTGGTATGTTAGAACTGTATGTCTTACGTTTGCCATCCCTGCTATAAGCCTCAGTTAAGTTATGGGGGTGAATAAGATTATCCAGGGCAGGGTGGAGAAAGAGGGATAGGGATATTTGGACATTGGGTGGATTATATGTAACAATATGACTTTACCTCATTCTATTATTTGCCAAAAATGTGATAGTATGAGTAACAGAAATGCCCAAAGTTTAAAGATTTACTGTTGTTTTTTAGGTATTAAACCGCTTGACTTTTGCATCTACTCTTTCTCACCTGCGTCGTTTAAACTCTCCCATTGGTAGAGATGGCAAGCTAGCAAAACCAAGACAGTTGCACAATACGTTGTGGGGAATGGTGTGTCCTGCTGAGACCCCAGAGGTAATGCACTAGAATTTATGTTCAAAACAAAGAGTCTGACAGGAGTTATGTAGGGGATAATTACTTTTAGAAGTAAGTTTTTATTTAATTATACATTGTGGTTTAGAACTAATGTGTCATTTATAATTTTGTTCTTCGGAAGTGAGAGTACAGCCTGAGAGTAAACTGAAGGAAAAGTGTTTATGGAGAAGAATTTTGATAGCCATGTTAAATCAATATGAATAATATGTACTTTGTTTATTCCAAGGGCCATGCTGTTGGACTTGTGAAGAATTTAGCTCTGATGGCTTATATTTCAGTTGGATCTCAACCTTCTCCAATTCTGGAATTTTTAGAAGAATGGAGTATGGAAAATTTAGAAGAAATTTCTCCTGCAGCTATTGCTGAGTGGGTATAGATGCAACTTAAAAACAAAAAATAGAAAACTATTGTTAATCTTTGGTTATAGAGTTACTAAGTGCAAAATGCTGTTTGGTTTTACATTTTAGTGCAACCAAGATTTTTGTTAATGGCTGCTGGGTTGGAATACATAAAGATCCTGAACAACTTATGAACACTCTAAGGAAACTGCGGCGTCAGATGGACATCATTGTGTCTGAAGTAAGAGTCTTTAACCAAGAGGGCGTGAGCTATGAGATTTCTAAACGGGGCATAAGACTAGTGAAAGTTATTTTTGCATTGGTATCTTTCTTGAACTAGTTTCCTTTGAATTATAAAGTAATTGTCAAAAGTCTAGGTGATGTTTTGAGCTAAATTTAATTATAAGGTATTACTTGCTGTAATGTCTTAGATAATATGCATTTAAAATTTTGTCATGTAATTTAAGTTTTTAAGTTATATTTTGGAGCTCAAATTACATTTTAAAGTAAAAGAAATTCTTTTGAGAATCTTTTTGTAAAGCTGACAATAATGCTTTTAAAAAGAGAATGATCTTTCTGATTCCTCCTTTGTCTGAATCCAGAGATTCATTCATGAAATGTAATACACCTTTATTAGATTCTCTTATGTTTATTTATTTATTTATTTTTGGTGGGGGGAGGTAATTAGGCTTATTTAATTTTGGAAGAGGTACTGGGGATTGAACCCAGGACCTTGTGTATGCTAAGCATGCGCTCTACCACTTGAGCTATACCCTCCTCCCCATTCTCTTATGTTTAGGTGAATGTTGAAGTGCCCTGGGATTAGGATGGGTTTTTGTTTTTTTTTTTAATCATTCAAATATAAGATGAGGTTTTTTTCCTCCCCAAAATAGGGCTTTGCTTTTAGTGTCCTGCATTGAGGGCTTAGACTTAGGCTTTTGATTTCCCCAAATCTACACCTTGGAGTCTGTCTAGGTGAAAGTGGGTTTGGGAAGAAACTATAACACACTTAAGCTTCTTCCTATCTACCTAGCAAAGCAGAGAGTTGAGGTTTGGCTGCTCCAGGTCTTCTGGCAGGCAGACCCTGGGTTTTGACGTGGTGTATTCATAGCTTACTGTCTGGAACAGCATGCTTCACTTGAGGGCAGGCAGGTCTGAGAGAAGGCCTAAGAACCCAAATTCACTGTGTTGTTTATGACTGAGAACTTTGTTAATGCCGTGTGTTTCTGCAGAGAGCTGTGTTCAGGTTTTTTTTATCATCTCTAGAGTAAAATTAAATTCTTCATGTTGTTTTAGGCCTCTTTACCTTCCCATGGGCCCATTCACTCAACCTGGAGTGCTTGTGTGCTCCTTGAAAATGGGCAGTAGGGAGAGGGGTGCTTACTACCTTTTTTAGGTAAATCTCACTTATTCTGCAAAACTTCTGTATTAACTCTCTCTCCTTCAGGATGCTTTACCTGGCTCCCTAGTTTGATTTTTTTGTAAAGGGCCATATATTAAATACTTTAGGCTTTGTTTACCTTATAGTGTCTGTTGTGTATTCAGCTGTGCTGTTGTAGTGAAAAGTAGCTGTAGATAATACATAAACCAGTAAGACTTTATTTACAAAAATAGACGGCAAGTGAGGGCAGATTTGGCCTGCGGGCTAGTCTCTGAGCCCCTGATTTAGATCTCTGTGACTAAATACAGCATATTTTCCTTAAATAACTTCTGACAATGCTTATACTAGATAGTAATTTGATTTATTTGCCTGCCTTACCTGCCACACTGTTAACTTCTCAGAGGTGGGGACTGTGCCTTAATACGACTTTGTATTTTCAGTTTTGAGCATGATACCTAACATGTAGTGCTTAACACTGAGTGAATGTTGAACCTATAAATGGACCCTGTGTCCTTGGACTAGGCTCTTTAATCTCCTGTTGGAGAGTGTTGTTGAGAGCCTCTAAGGGGGAGAATTGTATTTATTTTTAGGAGTCTAGTGCTTTTCCCTTATATTTTCTGATAACCAGAGGTCCTCATTTTACCTGTTTCTAACTGTAGCCTTGTGTTGGACCTATTAGGCTTTCCTGTCAGCAGTCCTCTCAAGAACATCTGTTTTGGAACACAAGATACTGTTTGGCCTTTGAGGACACAGCTCAATTTATGTCTTCCTATTAAGACAGTAGAGCTATATTCTATTAGCTATGTTTTAACGTAATATTCTGTATTATGTTAGAAATTCTGTTAAAGATTCAAGGCAAGCATTTGAGAATGCCCCTCATGATATTTTTCCTCATAAACACAGTGTTTCATCTCAGATTGTTTTCGAAGGACAGGAAGTGGGCTAAGAATGTGGGTGGTGCATTTACTGTTTCTTGCTTTTGATTTTTTACTTTGGGACAACTTGATATTTTTGACCAAGCTTTTGTGATTTACTGTTTTCAAACGGAGTAATCCAAACCTTTCATTTCTTAAATAAACTTAATCTTTTCTTGAATAAGAGTATCCAGATGTGATTTCACTTTTTTTAAAAAAATTTTTAATTTTTAATTTTTTAAATTTTTTTTGTGTGTTTTGGGGGGTAAGTAATTAGGTTTACTTATTTTTTAATTATTATTTTTCATTTAACCGGAGGTACTGGTGATCAAATCCATGACCTCATACATGTTAAGCATGCGCTCTACCCACTGAGCTGTACCCTCCCCCCTGATTTCACTTTTTAAAGTATTTTTGTGGAAAAATACCAATCTATTTTTCCATTTTCCAACTCATTGGCAATTGATTTCTTAGTTGACTTTTGAGATTATATATTAGATCTATGTAATTCACTGGAAATTCTTATTTGTTTATTCCTTGACTTATTTCTTTATTGGCACTTCGGATTCTATAGTGCCTTTAACAATTATGTAATTTATTGTAAATTTTCCCAGAATATTATTGACATTTTCTAGGAATATATTTTTTAGCACTATCCAGTAGAAGTATAATGTATAAGATTTCAACATATAATCAATGAGAAATTATTAATGATAAGTTTTACTCTTTTTTGGTACCATCTTTGAAATCCAGTGAGTAGTTTATACTTACAGCATATCTCACATCATCAGAATGGCCACATTTCAAGTGCTCAGTAGTGTCACGTGGCTAGTGACTGCTGTATTAGACAGCTAGACTATAAGCCATTTGTCTGATAGGTAATTGTGAGAATTCAGGCTTATTACTGGAAAACTGTGATCAGGGCAAAGCGATATAGGGCTGGTTTTTGAAAGGTTACACAGTGAAGTAAGTATATGTAATTATCAAAGAGGCAAAATAAGAAATTATCATATACTAGTTTTTGTGATATCAAAATATATTTTCTTCATATTATTTTACATGACATCATTACCAGATGTTGTTCCAGTCTGTAATTACCAAGGTTAGATATTTATCCTGTATAAAATTTTAGATTATACCTAGGTTTTTAATATATCTAATAATGATGAACTAAGATTTGTTAATTTTATTTGATAATTTATTGGTCTTAATTGTATTTTTAGCTAAGCCTTGATGATGCAGAGAAAGTAAAATTCATGAGACTGTTTTGTCTTTTTATGTGTAGGTTTCTATGATCAGGGATATTCGAGAGAGGGAAATTCGGATCTATACAGATGCAGGCCGTATATGTAGACCACTTCTGATTGTGGAAAAACAAAAGCTACTTTTGAAGAAGAGACACATTGATCAGTTGAAAGAGAGAGAATATAACAATTACAGGTAAGTACACGCAATTAAAAAAAATGAGATATAATTCACATGTCGTAAAATTAACCATTTTAAGTATACAGTTTGGTGGTTTTTAGTATATTCACAAAGTTGTGCAACCATTACCACTGTGTAATTCCAGAGTACTTTCATGGACTCAACAAGAAACTTTGTACCCTTAGCTGTCACATTTGCTTTTCTTAAGTTTTGTTATCAAGTAAGGGACTTGTAGGGTTCTGTTTAAGCATAAAAGTCTTTGTGACATGGAAAAGACTACCTCTATTATTAATAAGAAATAACCTATATAATATAAACAATATATGGTATACAATATGAGCAATATAATAAATTTAGTGAAAAGAATGTTTTATAATTTATTATTAGTGATATATGAATGCATATATTTTCATTGTAAAAAATTTCAAACAATTGGTGTAATAAAAATATGTAAAAGTCTTCAATTCACATTCTCCTTTTCAAAAGTAAATACTGTTACCAGTTGGGTTATCTGTTCTTCCAGACGTTACTCTTTATATACTCACCCTCTAGCCCCACAAGTGGTTTCCTTAGAGCAAAGCAAAACAAACTAATAATAGTTTTGGAGCCATACTGTATGTGTATTGTTCAGTAACTTGTTTTTTTTCACTGTTAACAATAATATAAGTATTTTGGAGTTCATTCTATATTAGTATATAGAGATACAGGAATAGTCTTTATTAAGTAGAAAAACTAGATAGTTAAAATAGTTCAGAGGGTAAGGAAATTAAGTGAATTCTTCTTTTTCAGTTGGCAGGATCTTGTGGCCAGTGGGGTAGTAGAATATATTGATACCCTAGAAGAAGAAACAGTGATGCTTGCAATGACCCCGGATGATTTACAGGAGAAAGAAGTAGCTTATTGTTCCACCTATACTCACTGCGAAATTCATCCGTCAATGATTCTTGGTGTCTGTGCATCTATTATTCCTTTTCCTGATCATAACCAGGTTGGTAGCAGTTTTCAACTATGGTTTGTAAGGAATTGGAAGAAGTAAAATAAAAATTAGAGATTAATCTGTAGTTTCTTCCAAAAGAAAAGCCTTTTAGTGTAAAGGCTATGAACTACAGAGTCCGTAAGAGTCATAACTGATTATTCCAAGTGGTTATCACTTATCTTTCAGAAAAAGCAAGAACTTTACCAATCATGTTTCTGATTTATGAAGTACCTTTAGAGTCTGTTTATTTAGAAGTAATTAAATTTTCATTGATTCTACTTTTCATTTTTACCTTTAGTCCCCTAGAAACACATACCAGTCTGCTATGGGTAAGCAGGCTATGGGGGT